ATGAAGATTAGAAGAAAGAAAACTGGGAGAAAAATTCACAATCTTTACAGACATATGTCATTTAGTGTAAGGGCTAAGAGTCAAGACAGTATGTGTATTAAAAGAATACAATAATTAAATCTTGAGTAAATATTACATTAAATAACACACATTATACTGCTTTTAGAAAGAGGTAGCATTATGTAATATGCTTTAGAAATATTTTAATCCAAATGAATAAAAACCACAACCTCTTTTGTTCCCTACAGTTATTTTATTCTTCAAGGATCACATATGTGGCTCATGCCTGTAATCCCACCACTTTGGGAGGCCGAGGCGGGTGGATCACGAGGTCGAGAGATCAAGACCATCCTGGTCAACATGGTGAAACCCCGTCTCTACTAAAAATACAAAAAAATTAGCTGGGCACGGTAGCGCGTGCCTGTAATCCCAGCTACCCAGGAGGCTGAGGCAGGAGAATTGCCTGAACCCAGGAGGCGGAGGTTGCAGTGAGCCGAGATCGCGCCATTGCACTCCAGCCTGGGTAACAAGAGCAAAACTCCATCTCAAAAAAAAAAAAAACTATTGTAGATCCAGTATAGAGAATAGATTGGAGGAGAGCAAGCATGAATGCTGAAAGAACAATTAAGTTGTTATTGTTATTGCATTAGCCTAGGTAAAAGAGAACAGTGGCTTGGACTAAGATTGACAGAAAGTAGAGAAAAGCAACCAAAGGAAGTGGGCAAATGTGAGAGCTATTCAGGTAGGTAGAAGAGAAAGGACTGGGTGTCTGATTGGACAGGGGTGTAAGACAAGAATAATCAAGGTGATTTACGTATATCTAGCTTGGACAGCTGTGTAGATGTTGCTTCTATTAAAATGAATTAACATCAGCCAGGAAAAGGATAGGTTTAGGGAGAAAGCAGATGAATGCAGTCTTGCACATACTGAGTTTGAGTACCTAGAAGTTAAGATGAAATCCTCATTGGCAGTTTAATATAAATGTCTCGAGCTAAGATATAATATAGCTGTATGTAGCTCTATTTGTGTGTACATATGTTGAATCCTTACTAATCTGATTAGAGGACCCTAATTGGGCTAGAGTCTTATACTAACACTGTGACGAAAGACTCTGCTAAATACATAAGGGCATTTTTGTTTGCTTAAAGGGCTAAACTTTAAGATTTTAGCAAGTGAGTTGTTATACATGTTTGCAAGCTAAAGTCTCAATTATTCATGGAAAGTTGGCTTTTTGGGATCTGCTTAGAAATGTTTCATTGCCAATTCAAGTTATTAGATAATACCTAAAATGTTAGCATTACATTTAAAATATTCTTTAAATTCTACCAACTTAGCATGGTTTCCCTAAGTTATGAAGCATTTACTCTAAGTTTATACCTAAAGTAATCTTGAATGACCACCAACGAATGCCTTTACAATCCACAAAAAGATATATAAGTATGCACAAATAACAGAAATTAAACATCAGAATAATATTCATGTTTCCATGAATAAACAAACTCAAACACTTACAAATTTTTACAACAGTGGAATACAATTGTAGGCATTAAATGTACCAGTGGTCCCTAGATAATTCCCCATATTAGAGAAATGGCAGTTCTTTAAAAATTCACTGAATTCAAATTTTCATTACTAAATATGAAATTATAAGAGTGTTTAAAAGGGCCCAACATATAAGCCTACTTATTATAAGCCAGAGTGATTTAAAAAGCTAAGACTAGTCACATTCCCCTTGATACTCAGTTTTATGAACAACCATCCATTTATTTTACCCTTAGAAAACTCTCCTGATTTATCCAAAGTAAATATGTCAGGAATAAATGAATAATTAATATGATTACATATGTTTACAGGTTTTTTAAAAATCAATTTCAAAAGTGAAAATCCAGTAATATCTTTTCTAATACAAAAATTTCTTAACAAAAACATTTAAGTAATACCCATAAAAATATTCCCCAGGGCTTTTTTCAATGTAATTATTGAGTTCAAATTTAAAGTCATCAATATAGATAAAACCTACTTTCTGTCAGATCCTCAATCTTTTCCCATAGAGTAACAGCATGAGATATATATCTTGTACTCATATCCTGAACTACCAATACTTAGGAATTCAAATTAATATTAAGTAGAAAAGGTGCTCTTTCATGTAAAGTCACAGAATCTCACATCTCCTTATTAAGGCGAGTTAAAATACCCAAAGCATCAAATATAAAAACAATATTCACTGCCCATTAACACTACAGAAGTATCTAACACTTGTATGATTCTACTGTATAAAATTTGCTTGCTATACTAAAAACACAAAATGACAGAGTATAGTATTGTTTTAGTGGTTTGGAGAACCTTATAAAAGATCTTTTTGATTATTGTAATGCAACACTGAATCTTCATGAAAAGCATAGCATCATTACATTTTGGGAAGACTCGGATCTGTAATGTAATATAACAACTTAGCCTCACCTACATGGTGGTAAAGGCCCATAATGACTAAGCCAGGTAGGCCATGGCTTATCAGATTTTTATTCATTTTATACCATAGTAATTCCCTTCCTCTTTGTTGTATATAAAGTGCTTTTCAGTTTACCAGTATACTACACTTTTAAAAAATAACTGTTTAAGACAAGTTACAATGATTCAGCAACTAAATCTCAAAACCAAGAGCAAGAAATGCAGCTGATTTTTTTCTAAAGCAACAAAATTTCACTCAGGAAAATTGTCCAGTATGGCCACAGAAAAAGAATTAGTTTAGTGATTCAATAAAACATGCTATGAAATTGATCATCTGGAAAATAAATAACCATATGAATCAGTTCCTAAATTCTGCAATTTTGCTGTTATTTTTCAGTAGATGAAAAGCTTCTTGATCCATTTAATTGTAACAGGCTCATAATTTAGGTGACACATTTTAAGAAGATACTATCCTTGTAAGCTTCCTTACCTTTAAAAATTTATTTACTATTACCTGCAAACAATAGGTAACAGAGCTTTGCCTCTGTTCTTCATTCTTTTTTTACTAACGCACACTCCCAGCTTGAATAAAGCATGACAATATTTATTAAATTAATTATTGTAATAAGAGCACTACTTACAATTTACTATTTTGTAGCCACCCTCTGCAACTTTCTACAAAGCTCTTTTTACCCTTTGTTTAAAATTTCAGGGTTTTATAGAGGGTGGGGGTAGGGAAAATGCGTTCTGTAAGGGACACCAATTAAAAGTATTAGTAAAATAAAGAGACTAATCTTTCTTCAATATAGGGCAATATAAGATCCTAACTAATGTTAATTCAAAAAACAAAAGCTAAATCACAGATTTGCAACAGTTCACACCCTGAAAATGTGGCCTATTTATCCTGAAAACATATAATCCATAAATAAATACAGATAAAATATAAAAATCACATTTAATATTCTGACTTTAAATCCTGAATTTTGCCAAACTGTCTCATTACCATTTTCATTTCAAAATCTATCTTGTTTTAGAAAAATAGCCTTCATCCATTGATATTCTAAAAATAGACTCCTACTGTCTTTTTTACAAGAAAGAATATCGCTTGGTTATGAGTCTTTCCATATCAGCTACATCATCAATATCTAAATTTCTTATTTAATTCCATTTTTGGCAATCAAAATGGTAACTAAACATACAAAAAAAATCTTACCTATATGCTGCATTTTCTTTCAAATGCAAAGTGGTTAGATTCCCCTTCTACTTAATCAGTACAGGGTCTGGACATTTTTCAGTCTGACTTGCAAATATTTGCTTTCCCTCTTAGGGCATAGCATCCGCAGGGTTATACAGCACTACTTACATTCTCTTCCACATAAAAATCAGACATTACATGAAAGGAAAAGAAAGACAGCCCATTTCAAAGCATCTGGCAAACCTCCATTGGCAACCTGCCAAGCCTCTGCTAAACCTTCCTGTCTTTCCGAGCATGCTCACTTAAAACCAACAGCACGTTACTATGGCAACTCTGTAGGCAGCCTGTAAGTATGAACCGCCATTCTGATTTCAGAGTGTAAAAAAAAACAAATACTGCAGGGGAAGTAAAAGGAAAGAAATAGCGTATGCCCTTCATCACATACGAGTATACTCATTTCATTTCATAAATTCATATTTGTGTATTTAAAACAGAAAACAAGCATCCCACATTTTTCCAGGGAAATATTTTTTATGCTCAAATAGGTCCCCCTTTTCAGTAAATTCATTGTCTTTGTCTTGCCCCTAAGCCCTTTTACCCACAACAATCAAAAATACACTAGACAGTTTATCCCATTTGATACAACACTGCAGAATAGACAACAGTATTCATATAAGCAATCACACGGTACTCCATGAATGATTTCCTACAATTATATGCATATTTTAAATGACATGGCAATATTACAAAGAAAACCATTAGCACTTACAACATACAATCTAAATCTTTTCAACAATTTATCAAATTGCCAAATGAAATTTTCTTTGGGGTTTGGATAAGATTTTTTTTATCCTAATTATCCTTTAAATATTGTGAAATCTCTGAAAGAGGTTTTGAAGTTGAGACAGGCCAGACCTGGGTGCAAATCCCTATTCTACCCATTTTAGTTGTGCCAGCTTGGAAAAGTTACTTAACTTTTCTCAACCTTCTTTTCCTTACCTTTAAAGTAGGGTAACAGTTACTTCACATGGTAATGAGTTAACACATATAAAATACATAAAAATTACATTTCTTTCCTCTGGGGTTGTTTTGGAAAAGATCCAGAAAAAAACATTTTGCACTTGTTGATTAATTAATCTAAAAAGTATTTTCTTGTAACCTCTTACTAAAAATTAGTTCTGATTTACACACTATGCTATAAAGCCAAAAAGCTTTCTCAACACCCAAATCAAGCAATGCTAGAAATGGACAGAAACAAATAACAGAGAATCTAAACAGAGGAAAAAATATATGAAGGTATTATTTTCACTAGAGAGTATTAAGATGTTTTTATTTGTTACAAACAAAGTACACCTACCACCTCTTCTTCTGCCTTTTTGGCCTCCTTTTCCTTCTCTTCATCATTTTCTTCAACTGGACCATCTTCATCATCACTACTGGATGACTCAAGGATTTCACTTATATCCATTTTCCAATTATCAGGAACAACTCTAGTTTTTAAGAAGATGCCTGCTTTCTGAAGCCCTAAGAGTGAAAATGTACTTCAGTAGTTGCTATGGAATTAGCAGGATGGAACAATAGAAAAGGCATGGCATTCAGAATCAGAAGACCTGAATTCAAATTCAGCTGTCATTTATAAAATGATACAGTAAGCCTGAACATATTTCATAAGTTATAATGTTATATGAACATTTGTTATTACTTTATGGAATACTGTGAAAAATCTTAATGATAAAATATGAAAAGTTAAACAGCTAATAATCACAAATCAAATATATCTAGATATTTTAAAAAAAATCAAGTAAGAGTGAATATCAACTCTAAACAGTTAAAATGGCACCAGAGAATATCAGTCTGGCTTTATTTGCTACTTTCCATATAGAGCTACAACATAAAATAATAGGGTAATTCATCTTATTTTACCTGGTTTAGTGGAGAGTTCAGATTCTGGTAGACTGAGAATGTCTACTTCTTTAATGTCCTTTCTTGCTATAGAGTAACTAATTATAGAGAAGAAGGGAGAACAATTTATTCAATAAAAATTATCACTTAAATAGTCCATGTTAACATATAGAAAAATAAAAACCTGAAAATCAAAATATTGTCTATAAAATGTTAATAAATTTTATTAATAAATGTCCTTAATAAAAGGTAAGAAGAGGTAATACAGGCAAAGCTAGTTATCTTAATTCTGAAGTTTTATATACTCAATTTGGTACACTGGTTATACAATCCTCCTACAGATAGTACGGGATAATTTATATCAGCATGATGTTTTCAACACTTGTAGACAACAATGTCTATTTTAGTACTTCTGAAATTTATTTTTCATTTTAGTAAAAAAGCGCATTTACCAGATAGGAATATTGAAATATTTTTATCGCTATAAGATATATTATACTATTAAATTTTTCACAGAGAACTATAACTCAAAAATTTTTAATTTCACTTTTTTAAATTATAAAGCAGAGATGAGTTTATGAAAAGGTTTCTAAAAGTCTGAATTTCAATCATGAAAAAAGTCAAAATAATTGCTCCAGTAATACAGATTAAAAAATAAGCTTTGTAGTTAATAATAAATGTCACATACTATACATGATAAAAATACAGGATTTTACAATTAAGGAAAAAAATCAATACCATGCTTTGCTAAAAAACAACCACCACCACCAAAAAACTGTTCTTTATCTTGTTCTCGCATAATGTTTTTCACAGTTTTTATATAAAATTTATCAGTGAAAAATATCCCACATTACAAAAAGTCAAAACACATTAGGACACAACTTCTCAGTTCATGAATGATTAGACTTTTAAAAATAAAGTATTGGTGGGGGAGGGTTCTATCACTGAAATTCCATTTTTTTTCTTCCCATGTAACATCATTAAAGGATTCATTACTCACAATTTAGAATCAATAAATGATCGAACTAAACACTGATCCTTTTTCACTGTGATATCATCATTACAGCTGGGAGATACTACCTGAAATATAAAGTAAGAACAGATTGATTCCTACTTCCTATGCTCAGAAAAAGAATATTTTTCAAAAGAACAATTCTGAATCCCCTAACTTCTCAGATTATATTTTACCAAAAAAAAAAGCTTCATTATAAATGGCTTCCATTATTAATGAATTACTTACAAAAAAAGATATGCTTATATTTTGTTTAGCACATTGGTTGTCTAAAAATTTAATTTATCCATAGTCATTAGATTATAAAATGAATAATTAATGAAATACAGGTCCAGGCATAGTGACCCACGCATGTAATCCCAGCACTTTGGGAGGTCAAGGTGGGCAGATGGATTGAGCTCAAGAGTTTAAGACCAGCCTGGGCGGCATAGTGAGACTGTGTCTCTACCAAAAATACCAAAAATTAGCCTGGTGTGGTGGCGTGTGCCTATAGTCCCAGCTACTCCAAAGGTTGGGCTCAAGTGATCTCATGAGGTGGGGGCTGCAGTGAGTCAAGATCAAACCACTGCCCTCCAGCCTGGGTGACAGAGTGAGTCACCATCTTAAAAAAAAAAGAAAAGTAAATTAAAATGTAACCAGCACTTTAAAAATATCAGGATTTATTATAAGCTAAATAATACTTCATTTATTGTCCAAAAAACAAAATGTATAATCTGTGATGAAAATTTAACATATAATTTTTAAAAATATACTTGGATAAAGATCTATTTTGAAATCTGGTCATTTGAAAAAAACCCAAGTTAGCTTTTTTTCTTTTTAACCAAGATATGTACAATTCTTAGTAATTAAAACAAGTTAAAAAAATCAACAAAGAACTTAATTTCTTAACTTCTGAAAATAATATCTTAAAAGTATTATTAGTAAATCATCTCTGTATTCTTTATAGATTTTATATTTTTAAACAATTGATGAAATGTATCTGCTCATGCTCTTCCCTAACACTAGCCTCTCTCTGCTACATTCCAGCACCATTCACAGACCTTTGTGCACTGATGGAAATGTTCTACATCTGCGCTGCCCAATAGAGTAGCAGTGAGTCACATGGTTTTAAGCACTTGAAATGTGGCTGGTACAACTGAGAGACTGAATTTTTAATTCTACTATATTTTAATTTAGTTACATTTAACATTAAATGGCCACATAGGGTTCATGGTTATCATACTGAACAGTGTATATCCAGATAATTGAATAGTCTTGGCAGACATATCAGCGGTCTTAACACTGGATGGATATAAATATTTTTTGTTTGTTTGCTAGATGCTGGTAATTATTATTATTTTTTTTCTTGAGACTGAGTGTCACTCTGTCGCCAGGCTGGAGTGCAGTGGCACCATCTCAGCTCACTGCAACCTCCACCTCCCAGATTCAAGCGATTCTCTTGCCTCAGCTTCCTGAGTAGCTGGGATTGCACGCGCCCACCACCATGCCCTGATAATTTTTGTATTTTTAGTAGAGACGGGGTTTTACCATGTTGGCCAGGATGGTCTCGATCTCTGGACCTTGTGATCTGCCTGCCTCAGCCTCCCAAAGTGCTGGGATTACAGGTGTGAGCCACCATACCTGGCCTGCTGGTAATTATTAGACTAATACTATAGCTGTGCTAACCCTCAAGGAGCTAACAGCGTACTGAAGGAGAAAACATAAAAATATACACAAAAACAACACAATGGAGGATAAATACAGTGATACCACTAGGCACATAATAATAGGAAAACATGGAGGAGGAAGATTTCACCTAACCTGGGCAAGAAAAAGGTGTGGCAGGAAAAGCTTAAGGTAAATTTTAAAGGATGAGTAGGCATAACCCAAGGTCTAAATATCTCACCTATGAACTATTTAATGGCCTTCAAATAGATTCCTGCCACCTCCAGTCTTTCCCGCAACATACCACTTCCTCATTCACATTCCTAAATATGTAGCTCAAATAACATCACTCTTCTGCAAAATTCTCTCCAGAATTATGTCCAAATTTTTATATGAACTTTTAAAGACTCTTCTGCCCTAGATTCAAATTATGTTTGCAGGTATATTTCTTATTCCTCCCCTATTCACACATAATATTTAGCCAAAATGAATTCCAAGAGCAAACAGTTCCATGAACAAACCCATTGCTATTTTTTTTAACCTATTTTTTGTTTTCTCTAGTGAAGCTTTGCCTACCTACTATCTTTAAACCCTTCAAAGCTCAGCTCAAAAGCACCTGCTTCGTGAAGGCTTTCTGTATTTTCCTCAAATAAATGTAATCTCTCAGGCCAGGGAGTCCTAATATTGAACACATATTGTTTTATATTACTGTTACTTGGATTATTCTGTGCATCATACAGAAAATCATCAAATGTAAGAATACTGTCTTACTCATTTTTTATTTTCAATATCCCCTGGTAAATTATGATAAATCTACTGGATAAATAAATAAATTTGTTATTTAAAAAAAAAAAAAACTCTTGGCAAATCTACTTATAAATGAAAGGTTCAAGGGACTTTCAGAATTTTCCCATGTAAATTATTATCTAGGAACTGAGTGATACATTTACATGCACACAGAAACCTAAAAATATACTTTCAGCTATTTACAGGATTATAATCTAATTTGGGACACATTTTGTGCCACAATTATTATTAGAGATAAGTGATACCACAATTCAAAGGGGCACACTTATGTTAAGAGTACTTAGGGGTCAGGCACAATGGCTCACACCGGTGATCCCAGCACCTTGGGAGGTCAAGGCCATCATTTGAGCCCAGGAGTTTTAGACCAGCCTGGGCAATATGGCAAAATCTCGTCCCTACAAAAGATATAAAAATTAGCCGGGTGTGATGGCACACACCTGTGGTCCCAAGCTACTCAGGAGGCTGAGGTTGCAGGATCACCTGAGCCCAGGGAAGTGGAGGCTGCAGTGAGCTGTGATCACGCCACTGCACTCCAGCCTGGGCGACAGAGACCCTCTCCCAAAAACAAAACAAAACAAGAGTATTTCAGAGAGACCCTGCAAAAAGGGTAGGACTTGAATTGAACTTTATGAGATATTTAAGAGGTGATAAAGGAGTGGAAGAGGAAGTACAGGAGTTGGAAGCGAAGAGACAGGCATTAATTATCAATTATTTTTTATTCCACTGAAATAATTCTCATCTCTCTCTTCTTATCTATCATTCCTTATCTGTATAAGCAAAAATTAGCTTTCTCTACCAACTCCCCTAAAGCATGCCATTTCCAAAATGTTCCTTAAAATTTAGGTAAACCCCTCTTTTCCATACACCCTTTCTTAATCCATTGTGTACCAAAATTTTTTAAAATTTACTATATAATCTTTAATAACTATGTAATCTCTTAGATGTCTAGAGTAAGCTTCTTGAGGGCAATACAGTTAAACCTCATACTTGTTTACCTTCTAAGGAGCTTAGAACAAAGCCAAGCTCACTGCAGATCCTCAGTAAATACTAATTAATTTAAGGCAGGGATAAAGGCTTAGAGGAGTGATGTATCTTAAATATGGGGCAATTAAAGAACTTGAGTTTATACTAAAAACAGAATATAAACAAAGAGCCAAGGATGGCCTCAAACATCCATTAAAAAAATGCAAAACTGATCAACTAGGCAGACATGCCGAAGGTTTTCTATATTTGAGAATGGGAGTTATCATAACTAAATCCATATTTTAAAAAGACTTCTCAGCCAGGCATACTGGCTGTAAGTCCAGCCCTTTGGGAGGCCAAAGGGAGAAGACTGCTTGAGCCAGAAGTTTGGGACTGGCCTGGGCAATATCGTGAGTCTACATCTCTACAAAAAGTAAAAAATAAAAAAGCAGAGAAGTATGGAGGTGCATGCCTGTAGTTACAGCTGCTTGGGAAGCTGAAACAGAAGGAATGCCTGAGCCTAGGAGGCCGAAGCTGCACTGAGTTGTGCTCACATCATTGCTCTCCAGCCTGGGTAACAGAGTGAGACTCTGCCTCAAAAAAAAAAGGGAGGAAAAAAAGATTTCTCTATAAAAGTTAGTTCTGAGGCCTTGCGCGGTGGCTCACGCCTATAATCCCAGCACTTTGGGAGGCCGAGGCGGGTGGATCATGAGGTCAAGAGATCGAGGCCATCCTGGTCAACAATGTGAAACCCCATCTCTACTAAAAATACAAAAATTAGCTGGGCATGGTGGTGCGCGCCTGGAGTCCCAGCTACTCGGGAGGCTGAGGCAGGAGAATTGCTTGAACCCAGAAGACGGAGGTTGCGGTGAGCCGAGATCGTGCCTTTGCACTCCAGTCTGGGTAACAAGAGCGAAACTCCATCTCAAAAAAAAAATGTTAGTTCTGGGGCCGGGCGTGGTGGCTCATCCCTGTAATCCCAGCAGTTTGGGAGGCGAAGGTAAGCGGATCACAAGGTCAAGAGATCGAGACCATCCTGGTCAACAATGTGAAACCCCATCTCTACTAAAAATACAAAAATTGGCTGGGCATGGTGGCGTGTGCCTGTAGTCCCAGATACTCAGGAGTCAGAGGCTGCAGTGAGCTGAGATCACGCCACCACACTTCAGCCTAGTGACAGACTTCCCCTCAAAAAATAAAAAAAGTTAGTTCTGGAAAATGAGTCTGAATTAATAGTGAAGAAAGAATTCAAGAATCAAGTTAAGGGAACCCATGATAATGGGAATAGAGGGAAGAAATATAAAAGAGCTCAATAAAAGGTTATAGAGAATTAAAAGAAAGAGAATAGACAAAGAAGACAGGGAAGTACTCTGGACCTGACTATGATTATTCAATTAAAAAATCTCCAATAAAGTACAACTTTGTTTAATATTTTCAAAATATTTTAAATGCTTTTAAAAAAAATCCACTTTAAACAAATATTTAGAGGGCTGATTAACTTTGCAAAGAAACCTTACTTACCAAAGCAGGATACCATTCAGTCCTCTCAGTTGTAGACACCACACTTACAACTTTTCCTAGTAGCTCATCATTGAGACGTCGCTTGTCTTCATCTTCTTCTTCACTACTTTCTTCTTCCTTTTCATCTTCGGTACTAAAAGTTAGAATAACTTGATCATTATCCTAACACGAACTATTATTTGATACAAAGTATTGTGTATTTAATATGGTCAATTCAATTTCTAATGGATTACCCTGAAGTAGTAGCCTCTTCATTCTTACTATAATTGAAGACATGGGTCCCTCCTTAGCCTCACAGAAGTATGTAGTCCTGAGCTATCTAGGTAACTCTGAGTTCACTTCACTAGATTAATGAGTGCTTGGACTTAGGCTCTCATGCCACCACCACCTGGGACAGAGAAACCTAATTTCACCACCATTAAGTACTTATTTTGCCAAATACTTTTTTTTTTTTTAAATACTGTCCTTCTATTTTTATGCCAGATAATATAACTTTAATTTTCTAACTGGCTATGAAGATATCTCATTAAAATACACATAAGGGTTTATTTAGGTAACTTATCTGGGTAACTAAAGTTTAACCTTATGTGTCAACAAATTTTAAGTGCATATATAGATAATAATTATTATTTTTTGAGATGGAGTCTCACTTTGTCACCCAGGATAGAGTGCAGTGGCATGATCTCGGTTCACTGCAACCTCAACCTCCACCTTCCAGATTCAAGCAATTCTCCTGCCTCAGCCTCCTAGCTATTACAGGCGTGCACCAACTCCTGAATAATTTTTGTATTTTTAGTTAAGACGGGATTTCACCATGTTGGCCAGGCTGGTCTTGAACTCCTGATCTCAAGTGATCCTCCCACCTCAACCTCCCAAAGTGCTGGGATTACAGGTGTGAAACACCACACCCAGCCAAGCCTATAGTTTTTAAAATAAAAATAACTATGTACTCCCATTTGAGCTCTTAATGAATATATATTGAATCTGACAACTTCTTGAAGATATCCTGCAGTGATAATGTTTGGTAATATTGCCATAATTACCAGTATGTTGATAATGATTGATAATGTTGCAGTTTACTAAAGTATACAGAGCTATTAACTCTTATTAAATGGCTCAAAACCATTTAGCTCATTATATTTTTCCAGTTTTAGTCCTTCATTTCTTCTCCTAGACTTCTCAGCTGTGTGACTCATTGACTACATTTACTAATCCTACCTATATTTTATTTTGACGTATCTTCCAATCTACTGCACCCTGAGAAACCAGATAACTCAATGTATTAAAATTATAAGGGAGTTTTCTTTTTTCATTTTTTTTTTATTGAGACAGACTCTCACTGTGTCGCCAGGCGCCAGGCTGGAGTACAGTGGCGCGATCTTGGCTCACTGCAACCTCCACCTCCCAGGTTCAGGCAATTCTCCTGCCTCAGCCTCCCGAGTAGCTAGGACTACAGGCACGTGCCACCATGCCCAGTTAATTTTTGTATTTTTTTAAGAGACAGGGTTTTACCATGGTCTCAATCTCCTGACCTCATGATCCGCCCACCTTGGCCTCCTAAAGTGCTGGGATTACAGGTGTGTGAGCCACTGCACCCGGCCTGGGAGTTTTCAGTAGAAGTCTATGGAGCTAGCTTATGAATAAAAACTGAGTATTGAATTATTAAACATAGATCATGTCTTGAGTACTTATTACACACTGATAAATTTATATACATTATCAGTTGGGCACAGTGGCTCATGCCTGTAATCCCAGCAATTTGGGAGGCCAAGGCGGGCATATCACTTGAGGTCAGGAGATGGAGACCAGCCTGGCCAATATAAGAAAACCCCATCTCTACTAAAATTACAAAAATTAGCCAGGTGTGGTAACACATGCCTGTAGTCTGGCTACTCAGGAGGCTGAGGCACGAAAATCACTTGAACCTGGGAGGCAGAGGTTGCAGTGAGCTGAGATCGCACCACTATACCCCAGTCTAGGTGACTGAGTGAGATTCCGTCTCAAAAAAACAAACAAACAAAAATGAAAATTGTCTAATCCTCACAAAATCTGCAAGACATTATTGCTACCATTTTCATCAGCAATAAATTGGGGATAAGAATATCTTACAAGTTTTTAAGAAGATTTGAGTTAATACACGTAAATGTAGTTAACTTTAAGAGCTTAATTTTCCCAAAGTGATATATGTAATATATGGCTGAGTTGGGATTTCCATTTAGGGTCCTCAGAGGTCTTTTATTACTTTCTGGTTTGCAGCTTACATGTTATTTGACTTTGCCTTTAAAGATATTCATTATATACTCCCCAGCAGCAGAGAGTACATATCTAATATCTGGATCTTGGTTTCTAATATTATTTCCCACTAAAAGAAATGAGAAACCCTTATAGAAATGGCCAATTCCAGGGTTGGCACAGGAAAAAATTAACGTGAGCCTAGGATACCTTGTCATGTCAGAAGGTGAAAAAATGCTCAAGAAATGGTGAGGCCATATCAAAAGAACACAGAAGCCATTCTGGAAAGGCTCCCTTGGCTAAATCTGGACAACCTGAATTATAACTCATTAAGTAAAATTAGAATCCATAGTGCTAGGAAAAGAATTTCATTATAGCTAAATGATAACTTAAAAATGTAGCAAATAGAAAATTCAGCATTTTGCAATCTTAATAGTAATAACTGATTCAGGCAAGAATTATTAGTGGATGATAAAACCTGTGAATGAAAGTTAGACCAAGAATAGAATATTTAAATAGGCCCAAAGTATCTCCATGCAGGCTTATAAATTACAAAGGAAAAAACTATAGTAATTCTGAAGTGGAAAAATTTGGTAGACACCACCTTAACCAGGTGATCAAAGTTAGTATCACCAAGTATGGGACAAACTTATAAGTTTTTGCTGTGTTTTCCTTGAGCACACAACATCACTTACAGAGTATTACTGTCTAAAATGTATAACCTGAATCTAACAATGAGAAAACAATCCAACAAACCCGTATTTGGAAACAGGTTAAAAGACTGTTGGCTTGTATTCTTCAAAAATTGTCAATGTCATGGGAAAAAAAAAGACTACAGAAATTTTTCCAATTAAAGGAGACTTAAGAACCACATAAACTAAATACAATGCATGATCTTGAATTGGATCCTGGAATCAGGGGAAGTGGGGGATGCTAATAAAGGCTATCATTGGAACAAGTGGCAAAGTTTGAAATATTAACCACATATTATGATAGTAGTCTATCAATGTTAAATATTCTGAATTTGGTATTCATACTTTGGTTATGTAAGAGCATCTCCCTTGTTCTTAAGCATTAATTGATAAACGGTCATGATGCTTGCCACCTCCTCTCCAATAGTTCAGCAAAATAAAATTATTATAAAATACGAAAATAATTACTATATATATACAGAGAGGGAATCATAAAGCAAATGTGTTGAAGAATGTTAAAAACTGGTAAATCTAGATAGAGTATATAGACATTAGGCTGGGCGCAGTGGCTCACACCTAAAATCCCAGAACTTTGGGAGGCCGAGGTGGGCAAATCAATCACTTGAGGTCAGGAGTTCAAAAGTAGCATGGCCAACATAGCAAAACCCTGTCTCTACTAAAAATATATAAATTAGCCGGGTGTGGTGGCGAGCCTGTAATCCCAACTACTTGGGTGGCTGAGGCAGGAGAATCACTTGAACCTGGGAGGCAGAGGTTGCAGTGAGCTCAGATCGTGCCACTGCACTCCAGCCTGGGCAACACAGTGAAACTCTATCTCAAAAAAAAACAAAAAAGAGTATATAGACATTCATTGTATTATTCTTGCAATCTTCAAGTTTGAAATGTTTTTGAAATAAAAGATAAAAACCATATACTCATTTAAAATAGAAAAATCATCATATCAATTAAAAACTTTGACAAAGTAACTTAAAACAAAAATAGCATTTTTGAAATAAGAGTTGTCATCATTCCTGGGTGAATAATGGGAATAATTAAGAACAAGGTCGACTTAAGGTAAAATGTCTAACGTAAGAATATGAGATGCTATGGAAAGCTTACCCAAATGAACTTAGCCATTCCAAGAAAATCACTTGTTTAATGTTATAATAATTGTAATTATAATGATGCCATATATGAAAAACTCACACAGGAAGAGAAGACCTCCTTCCTCTGTTTGTCTTCTTTGCAATTACTGGCGTTCCAAAATGCTCTGGATTTGTTAATGGAAGCTGGTCAAGTGTCTGTATAAGAAACAGATTAATTAAATAACATTTTACCTCTAGATCAGTACCTACAGTTCAATCCAAATTAACCACCTTCTTAACCCATTAGCAACCTAGTTCATCCATGTCACCCTACCTCACTCTCTGCAAAATGTCTCTCTCCTTTCAGACAAAGCGAGGTACGTCTCAATGTTCGCTCATCACCATCATCAAACACTATAAGGACAAGATATCAGAGAATTTATGCACACTAATGAAATAAAAACTTAAGCACACAATGCTCTTATTATTAGGGCTTAATATTTGTAAGAACCATTATTTTAGTCATTTTACAAAACCTTTACAGTAAGCATACCATGCCATATTTTTCATTCCATAGATACCAAAAACACAAGTTAAATGGCTGCCCATAACTGCTTAAGTATCTCCAGTTGTTTTAGTGATCCCTTTTTTTTCGAGACCTAGTTTCACTTTGTCACCCAGGCTGGAGTGCAAATGGCACAATCTCGGCTCACTGCAACCTCCGCCTCCCAAGTTCAAGTGACTGTCCTGCCTCAGCCTCCTGAGTAGCTGGGATTACAGGCATGTATCACCGCACCCAGCTAATTTTGTATTTTTAGTAGAGACAGGGTTTCACCATGTTGGTCAAGCTGGTCTCCAACTCTTGATCTCAGATGATCCACCCACCTCAGTCTCCCAAAATGCTGGGATTACAGGCATGAGCCACCATGTCCGGCCTGTTTTTTTTTATTTCTATCACTACAGAACCACCTTCTTAACCCATTAGCAACCTAGTCGAAGCATAAATATTAAATTAACTGCCATCACAGAAGAATGAACAAAAACCTGATTTAAAAAAAAGCATTACAGATTTTTCCACTAAAGCTATCAATAGTGTACCCCTAACTTCCAGAAACTGACTCCTGGTAATGCTACTGAATTATTTTACTGCTTCTAATTATTTGCACGATAACCTACTACACCTGTACTGGCTGCCAAATTCTAAAGTCATTAGATACAAGTTCTTTCTTTTGTTAGAAAAGGATATAAGTAGTTTATTCAGGCTGGGCACGGTGGCTCATGCCTATAATCCCAGCACTTTGGGAGGCCGAGGCGGGTGGATCACGAGGTCAAGAGATCGAGACCATCCTGGTCAACAAGGTGAAACCCCGTCTCTACTAAAAATACAAAAATTAGGGGGGCATGGTGGTGCGTGCCTGTAGTCCCAGCTACTCAGGAGGCTGAGGCAAGAGAATTGCCTGAACCCAGAAGGCGGAGGTTGTGGTGAGCCAAGATCGTGCCATTGCACTCCAGTCTGGGTAATAAGAGCAAAACTCCGTCTCAAAAAACAAAAGTAGTTTACAAGGTTTTCCTATTTTACCCAGGTTCATTTCAGACTTCTGGTCTCAAATGATCGCCCTGCCTTGGCCTCTGAAAATGACTGGTTTACAGGAATCTGCCACTGTACCCAGCTGAGTAGTTAGAAATAAAGGTTGAAATAAGGAAAAGAAAGATATGAAGTTTTTAGAGTAGGCGTGTTGGCTTATGCCTGTGGTCCCAGCTACTGGAGAGGTCAAGGTGGAACGACTGCTTAAACCAGGAAAACCAAGGCTCAAGCATGGTTACTGAGCCATGACTGTACCACTGGGTGACGGAGCAAAACCAAGACTCTGTCTCCAAAAAAAGATATAAAGTCTTTTTTAAAAGAATTTAAAAAAAAAACATAATTACATAGATGCTTTCTCAAGTTTTTTACTTTAACTACATATTTTTAAAAATCATACCACTTGGCCAGGCACAGTAACTCACACTTGTAATCCCAGAACTTTGGGAGGCTGGGGCAGGCGGATCACCTGAGATTGGGAGTTCAAGACCAGCCTGACCAACATGGAGAAACCCCGTCTCTACTAAAAATACAAAATTAGCCGGGCATGGTGGCGCATGCCTGTAATCCCAGCCACTTGGGAGGCTGAGGCAGAAGAATCGCTTGAACCTGGGAGGTAGAGGTTGTAGTGAGTCAAGACCATGCCACTGTACTCCAGCCTGGGCAATAAAAGTGCAAAATATATATATATATATATAGTACTAATTTTCATAATTCTAGATACTTTTCTATTGTAACAGAATAGGTTAGTATTAATTTTAAAAATTCTATATTACATTCATTTAATATCTAAGAATCTTTTAGTTACCTATGAAATTACAATCCTGAATTATTTTCTTAAAACGCTGTTTTATTAGCAAACCCTTTGCCTTTAAATCCTACACTTACCTTTAAAAAATGAATACGTTTTTCAAAAAGAAAATTATATAAAAACTTTCAACAGTTAAATATTTGTCTACTTCAATCAGTTCTCCCTGTTATGTTACTAAACATACCTAGCTTAGACTCTCTTACATGCAGGAGACAATGTGGAGAAAATTAAAAACTCCTGAAGTACATACTCAAAGAACCATGATTCTACAAAAGCAGCTGTGCTATAAACAGTCAATGATCCAGAAATTAATGACTAGCTGCAGGCATAATGACAGGTTAAAACACAACATCCTCCAATGATTACATCACTGATGTACACTTGAGTAATAGTGCACTAAATATTTAATATAAAAAATTATGATTCATACAGTATCAAGTCTAACAAATAAACCACTATTCTTTTAAAATTTTTAAATCATGAAATTATCACAAACAATGTAATTCTTGTCAGTACTACTGTAAGTATAAAATTTCGAAAAGATTAAACCATAAAGGTTTTCACATTTTCTTAATGCCTATGATACCAAAGATGATGACATTAAACACACACACACATTTAAATGGAGGCATGAAGAAGGAAAATGCAAATGTAAGACCAACACTGCCAAATTTATATAACAACATGTTTTCCACAGTGTTTTATCATTAATCAATGGCAAACTAACTGTTCTGATGAAAACCAAACTAACTGTTCTGATGAAAAATTTCAACAATTTCAACATTTCAAATAAAAATTTCAGCAATTTTTGAATTTGAACTATTCAAAAATTTCAATAATCACTTCAAAATAAAATCAGATTTTTAGAGTGAAAAATTCATTTCACTTCAATATACTTTATCATGGATAGAAATATTAAATAAAAACAAAGAGATTTTTCAAAAGGGGATTATAATACAAACAACTATTTTACAGTTTTACATAGGAACCCTCCCAACTTTAAGTGAAAAAAAAGAAAGAGTTTAAGATTTATTTATTTAGAGACAGAGTCTCACTCTGTTACTCAGGCTGGAGTGCAGTCGTGGCATGATTTCAGCTCAATGCAACCTCTCCCTCCTGGGTTCAAGCGATTCTCGTGCCTCAGCCTCCCAAGTAGCTGGGATTACAGTTGCATGTCACCAGGTCCTGCTAACTTTTGTATTTTTAGTAGAGACAGGGTTTCACCATGTTGATCTGGCTGGTCTCGAACTCCTGGCCTCAAATGTTCCGCCTACCTTGGCCTTCCAAAGTGCTGGGATTACAGGTGTGAGCCACTGCACCCAGACTAAGATTTCTTTAATTCACAAAGTTATATAAAATGTTTTTGAGTACTTTATAAATTCATTAAATTATGTAATTTTTCAAGATTTTCTGAAAATTACAGGTGTGAGCCACCACACCTGTAATCCTGATGCTTTGGGAGGCCAAGGCAGGAGAATCCCTTGAGGTCAGCAGTTGGAGACCAGCCTGGCCAACACAGTGAGACCTTGTCTTTTAAATTTAAAAAACATTTAGCCAGGCGCAGTGGCTCATGCCTGTAATCCCAGCACTTTGGGAGGCTGAGGCGGGTGGATCACAAGGTCAAGAGATTGAGACCATCCTGGTTAACATAGTGAAACCCCGTCTCTACTAAAAATACAAAAATTAGCTGGGCATGGTGGCGCGTGCCTGTAATCCCAGCTACTCAGGAGGCTGAGGCAGGAGAATTGCCTGAACCCAGGAGGTGGAGGTTGCGGTGAGCCAACATCGCGCCATTTCACTCCAGCCTGGGTAACAAGAGCAAAACTCCGTCTCAAAAAAAAAAAATCTAAAAATTAGCTGCGTGTGGTGGTATGTACCTGTAATCCTAACTGCTCCGGTGACTGAGGTAGGAGGAGTTAGGATTACAGGTACATACCACCTGTACTTGAGCCCAGGAGTTCAAGGCTGCAGGGAGCTATGGTTGCCACTGCATTCCAGCCTGGGCAACAGAGTGAGACTCTGTTTCTATAAAAAATTAATTTTTTTAATAAAACCAACATTATGAACTTATTAATCAAGATATCCTTATCAATGAATAAACTATGGTATGAATAGTAGGAAGAGGAAATATTTCTATTGCTCAAAAATAAAAACAAAAACATCCCCTTGAGTTGGTGCTATTTATTGTTGAACATTAAAGGGGAGGCCAGGAGCAGTGGCTCATGCCTGTAATCCCAACGCTTTGGGAGGCTAAGGCGGTAGGATTGCTTGAGCCCAGGAATTCAGGGCTTCAGTGAACTATGAATGATAGTACAACTGTACAAAAGCCTGGGCAAGGCCGGGCGCAGTGGCTCACGCCTATAATCCCAGCACTTTGGGAGGCCAAGGAGGGTGGATCACCAGGTCAAGAGATCGAGACCATCCTGGTCAACAAGGTGAAACCCCGTTTCTATTAAAAATACAAAAATTAGCTGGGCATGGTGGCGCGCGCCTGTAATCCCAGCTACTCGGGAGGGTGAGGCAGGAGAATTGCTTGAACCCAGAAGGCGGAGGTTGCAGTGAGCCAAGATCGTGCCATTGAACTCTAGTCTGGGTAACAACAGTGAAACTCTGTCTCAAAAAAAAGAAAAAAAAAAAGCCTGGGCAAGACCTTGTTCCCCCCCCAAAAATAGAGCAAGACCTTGTCTCTAAACCAAACAAACAAAAAACAAGAAATAAATCATTAGAGGGTAAACTATTACCAGATTTTTAAAAAACAGAGTCATATTATATCCAAAATCTCTTTCAAAATTGATTAATAAAGTTTAACAGAAGGGAAATTGATACCTATATTATGTAAGAAGCAGTTAGGACTACAGGCACAAATCACCACAGTATCACCGATTCTAATAACTTCAGATCACTAATGATCCTAACTCCTATTTGATCCAAACCAGCAATGTGGTATCCTCTTTTGTTTCATTTTTAATTATCTGACATAATTTCTGGTATCTCATGAAACCGAAAAAGGTCATGGACGTCATAAACACTTGGAACAATTTTCTGATTATACTCACATAATACTTTGCTAGGAACTGGAAATCAAGATATATTCCAGAAAAGAGCAATTAAACCCAATAAGTAGTAGGTACTCACTGAAAGAAAAATATGGGATGTTCATGACCCAAGAGGTTATACATTTCATTTTGCCATATTTTTAAACCAACTGGTAATTCGGGTCATTATACTCTGATTATTCTTTATGTGATCCACTTCCTTCAATATCTAAATGTTCTTTATGGCAGTGCTATGTTGAGTTTTCTGAATGGAACAGTGCCTTTCAAAATCTTTTCATGAATTTCCTTGATGCACATAAGTGCAAAAATCTTTAATATTTTGAATTTGTCTCCCAAACAAAACTGTTTCTCCCTATTTTTATAAGTGTGAACTACTTGCATCAGAATCACTGACATGCTTGTTAAAACATTCTTGTTTTGCCATCCCCAGGCCTAATTGGAGAGGCTTAAGGTCGTGAAAGCCTCATTTTTCTAAGCAAGCACCAAGTGATTCTTATGTACACCAATGCTTGATACCTCAATTATACACAATTAAGATGCTAAAGCTCTTTGAGAACAAGAATTATACAATTTCTTCCGTAATTATCCAACACAGAAAATCACCATAGAAAATGCTTAGTAGTGACTAGTTTTTAGAAACACTAAAATGCTACTCATGTAGAGGACAGAGGTTGCTATTCATAATTGAATAATTACTCTGGGATGAAGAAACCAGAATGAGAAAATCTGAAAAGTACTCCTTCTGTAGAGCATACACATTTTATCAGTAAAGCTTTACTGGTAATATCAGTATAATCTTTATAGTGAGTGCAATATTAATATCTGAATATGCATCATATATTTTCTGCTGATTCTACACACACCTGTAATTTTTATCAGGTCTTTAACAAAGCAAAGTTGCATTTACTTATTCTCTAAGAGTTAACATTAAACTTAGTTTTTATTTGTTTGTTTTTTTTGTGATGGAGTATCACTCTTGTTGCCCAGGCTAGAGTGCAATGGCTCGATCTAGGCTCACTGCAACCTCAGCCTCCCGGGTTCAAGAGATTCTCCTGCCTCAGCCTCTTGAGTAGCTGGGATTACAGGCAGCCACCACCAGCTGATTTTTGTATCTATAGTAGAGATGAGGTTTTGCCATGTTGGCCAGGCTGGTCTGGAACTCTTGACCTCAAGTGATCCACCCACCTCTGCCTCCTAAAGTGCTGGGATTATAGGTGCAAGCCACCATGTCCAGCTGCTTAGTTTTTAAACATTTAACAAATATCAACAGCCAGAGCTAAGCTTCCTAAAAATATGTACTTCAGAATAATGGCACCATTGTAAACCAACACCAAATTCAAGGAAGTCCAGGAAGAATCAAAAGGTTAGAAAGAAGCAGTTACACACAGCAAATTGGTAGTACTAACAGAAGGCAGAGGGTTAGAAACAGAAATTTTTTTTTTTTTTTTAGACGGAGCTTCACTCTTGTTACCCAGGCTGGAGTGCAATGGTGCGATCTTGGCTCACCGCAACCTCTGCCTCCTGGGTTCAGGCAATTCTCCTGCCTTAGCCTCCCAAGTAGCTGGGATTACAGGCATGTGCCAACGTGCCCAGCTAATTTTTTGTATTTTTTAGTAGAGACGGGGTTTCACCATGTTGACCAGGATGGTCTCGATCTCTTGACCTCGTGATCCACCCGCCTCGGCCTCCCAAAGTGCTGGGATTACAGGCGTGAGCCACTACGCCCGGCCCAGAAACAGAAATTTTTAAGCAAAGCATAGTTCTTCACAACACTGAGCATCAACTGGATATGAATTATTTTTACCCAAAGCAACAAATCAAGTAAACTAAAAGTAATCCTAAATGATTGTTTCTTTTATATCTACAAGAAAATCACAAAATAACTATACCACTTAAACCAAGAAATAAGTATAAAAACCAACAATGCTATAGATTGGATGTTATCCCAGGATTTTGTAGTTTTTGTAAAAGTATTGAGTGAGAGGAGATTTGGAAATGTTACCTAATGCTATTCTCATCAACATAATGACAGTAACTACTGAAGTACTACTTTGAGGTTTTAACTCACATGTACTATGACACTTGTTGCTTCTTACTATTAACACAATAAAGCTATCCAAAGCCAGTATAAGCGTATGCATGGAATGTTAAGAACACACTCATATTAGGAGCATCTGTATCTTTCTTGAAAGCTGTTTTTTGTTTTGTTTTGCTTTTGAGACTGAGTCTCACTCTGTCCCCCAGGCTGGAGTACAGTGGCGTGATCTTGGCTCACTGCAACATCTGCCCCCCAGGGTTAAGCGATTCTCCTGTCTCAGCCTCCCGAGTAACTGGCATTACAGGCACATACCGCCATGCCTGGCTAATTTTTGTATTTTTAGCAGAGATGGCATTTCACCATGTTGGCCAGGCTGGTCTGAAACTTCTTTTTTTTTTTAGCCGAAATCTGCTGCCGAAGGTCTGAAACTTCTGACCTCAATTGATCCACCCACCTTGGCCTCCCAAAGTGCTGGGATTACAGGCATGAGCTACCATCCCTGGCCTTGAAAGCTGTTAATATGATCACCCACACTGTCAAAAATCAAAAAGTAAGTTACAATCACCTGGTCTTGAAGCTACTATGGTCAGAATTTTTTAAATCTATAAATTGTCTGGCAACATCTACATTACCCTCATATAAAATATGTAGCAATACAATAAAGACTGCAACTATGCAATTTTAATTGCAATTATAGAAAAAGTGATCACAATAATGTGATCTAACTTTCTTGAAGAGAAACATCAAAATAACCTAAAACAAAATACATTCTTGGATGAAATAGACACAAGTGGCCAAGTTAGTGTAAGAGATAATTATTTTTGTTACCTATGGGGGCATTCTTAGAATTTTAGCCAGCTATATCCAGTAAACTGATGGGAAATAATACATATTTCTCTGCCATCATAATGATTCACTGTATCCACAAACCACAGATATATGCAACCTCCAAATCAAATCTATGTGTTAAATTACTTAATTACTTACCCACGGTATACCAACTAGCATCTGTCAACTTGCTGATAATAGCTTCCTGAAAAGATCCATCAGATGTCCTTGTTTCAACAATAGCTCCCACCTAAAACATGAGTCCAAATTTCCTTACCAAATTTAAACAAATAAACCAAATCACTCCCACCAACCATATAATCTAGGTAAGAAAAATAAATACCATACTTATGATAATTCTATCTTACATTGTCTTAGATCTTTATCATTTATAGTACTTGTCTATTTATTATGCAATTTGAGTCCCAAAACACTTTGACAAAAGTTAGGTAGCTATTACGACCCCTACTTTACATAATGAAAACTGCAGTTCAGAAAGAGAAAATAATTTGCAAAGTCCAGGATGAGAGCCCAGTCTCTTAAATCCTACTTCAGAGCTTTTCCACTGTATCACAATGCCTTCGAGGAAATTAAATAGAATAACTGTAAAATTATAAGTCAACCAAAATAGCCTCAATTTTCTTTCAAAGAAACATTGAATACCAGATTCAACATTTATATTTAAGGGACCTTTTAGATAAAGGTTCACCTGGAGAGAGTGGGATGGACCAGTTGACCTTCTTTCAGTTTCCAGACCTTTGCATATCAGATATTAATCAAAGTGGTACTCTAACAGATTTATTATATAAACAAATGGCCAGAAATGGATGGGAAACATAATCTAGCTATTCATTAAATTGAATTAGAAAGTGAATATGGTTTACTTGATAAATTAGAACAAGCAAAGATTCAGGCTTATGATACTGAACTTAGAAGGCTAAACATCACCTCAGATACAGCAACAATGCAAAAAACGAAGTCAGGTATTCAGTTCAAGAATTCAAAACAAAAAGGTAGGTGAAAAACTCAACATGTTTATATATATTAAACTACCCTTCTAGAAAATGTTTAGTATTCTAAAACTTAGAATTTAGCTATTGCAACATTTAAACCCTTCATTTGTACTGTTTTCTGATTAACATTCTCATAAAATGATAAATCTATGTAGAAATGTAAATTCAATAAATATGGTGTAAATCTATGATTATTTTAGATTTTAAACTATACAACATACATACTCTTAAAGGACCCTTTACTTGGTCATCTTGTACCAATTGTGTGGTATTATCCTGTTTCAGGAGTACCTGTAAAACATTTTGCACAATAATTTGCATATTACTTTTAAAACATACATTTATAGTAACATTGTAACAATAAAGTCTCTAATTTATGCTTTCTTAGCACCCTGTGGTGACCTCTGCTACAATACTTATTACATTCTCTTAACTGTGAGCTCCTTGAGGGCTGAGTCCTCCGTCCATTGCTATATCCCCAACAGTTACCAAGTGTGAACGCATATTACCAGTACTTAATAACTATTTACTGAATGAACTATATAATAATCTGTAGTGATTATTGTAAAAAAAAACACACACCTGCCTTTATTGTTTAACAAGTCACAAAGGTTCTGACTGTCATCAAGTACACAAAGAACAAAAAAAGAGGATCAAATTGTATTGCCTATATGCAAGGTAAACAAATTAAAACCAGAACTCTCACCCTTTATAAAGTGAAGCTTAACAATAATCATAATATGCAATGATATAAACGAGTGCTCCCTTCTAAATACAGAGTTGGTTACTACAGTACAAATAACAGACGGTCCAAATAAATTCAAAATCTAGGTAATGTACATATAAGACCTCCTAAAACAATCACTGTATTAATTTTAAATATGAGCCACAATACTAATAACAAATTTAAATTGTTAAAGAATCCCAAATAAATATAGAGTAATTAAATCCTACATAGCTGACATGGTAAAAAGAAACAAAAATAAATGAATGTCAATTGGCAACTTATCATAATAAATACTTGAAGTTTCATCAAGAAAACTGAAATATAAAGTTTATAATAATCATAAATCCATCTAATTATCTACCCTACAAATCACACTCCTTTACTCAATGTTTCTCAAGCTTTTTTTTTTTAGACAGAGTCTCAACCTCCACTACCCTAGCTTAAGCAAATCTCATGCCTCAGCCTCCAGGGTAGCTGGAATTACAGGCGTGCACCACTATGCCTGGCTACTTTTTTTTGTATTTTTAGTAGGGACAGGGTTTCAACATTTTGGCCAGGCTGGTCTCAAACTTCTGGCCTCAAGTGATCTGCCCACACTGGCCTCCCAGAGTGCTGGGATTACAGGGCGTGACCCACCATGCCCAGCCTGATTCTCAAACTTTTAACACGCATCAGAAATATTTACACGGCTTATTAAAACACAATTACTGGATCTTACTCCCAGAGTTTCTGATGAAGTAAATCTAGGGTGGGGAAAATTTGCATTTGGAACAAGTTCCCAGGTAAGGCTGATGCTGCTGGTCTAGGGCCACACTTTAGGAATCACTGCTCTAGCTCATTCATTGAGTCAACAAATTTTGAGTGTCCACTATATACCACTATTCTATGTGTTGGGCATAGAACAAGTCAGACGTTTCCTCCTTTTATGGTACTTAATTCTGGTAGGAAACAATCAGATATATAAGTGAATAAAGCAAACTGCAAACTGCAATATAGCATGATCTAATACCAATGACAATAATTGTATGATAAGCACAGTAAAACAATCTGGAAGACTACATCAAATCTCTTTGGAGTCATATCAAGGAGGACTTTCACAGTGTTCTCTACCACTGCAGGATGAATAGTCAACAATGCTGTATTACATGGTGTCCAATGGTGGAGAGCAGGATTACTGAATATTACCAACACAAAGAAATGAAAAATGTTTGAGATGATGGATAAGCTAATTATTCTGACTTAATCACCATACATTATATGTAGCAAAACATAACTATGTAGCCCATGAATATGTAAAATTGTCAACTGAAATAAATAAAATTTTTTAAAGAGGACTTCATAAACTATATTTATACCTCTATAATGTTAAAAATGTTTATAATAAGCATTACTTTTTAAATTTCAGTATAAAGTAAAAGAGGCTATTAAAAATATATTCATTTAAGAAAACTACTAGAAGGTATCATCAAAAAAAATTATTCCCGAATAAAAGCATCTTAAAAAAATAATTTTTTTTTTTTTTTGAGACAGGGTCTGGCCCTGTCAACCAGGCTGGAGTGCAGTCGCACAACCACAGCTCACTGCAGCCTTGACCTCCCAGGCTCAAGCAATTCTCCCATCTCAGCCTCCAGGGCAGCTGGGACCACAGATGCCTACACCACTTAATTTTATTATTTTTATTATTGAACAAGCAAGATCTCACTACATTGCCCAGGCTGAAATGCTATGGTACAATTTCGGCTCACTGCAACCTCTGCCTCCTGGGTTCAAGTGAGTCTCTTGCCTCAGCCTCCTGAGTAGCTGGGGTTACAGGCACCTGCCACCATACCCAGCTAATTCTTGTATTTTTGTAGAGATGGGGTTTCATCATGTTGGTCAGGCTGGTCTTGAACTCCTGACCTCATGTGATCCACCAGTCTTGGCCTCTCAAAGTCCTAGGATTACAAGCATGAGCCACCACGCCCAGTCTAATTTTTGCATTTTTAGTAGAGACAGGTTTTCACCATGTTGGCCAAGACTGCTCACTTCGCCCTCCCTCAGTGCTGGGATTACGCCCAGCCCAAAGTTAACTTCTTAAATGCTTTTTTACACTATCTTGAAAACCAATTCCCATTGTATTTGTATTGTCTTAAACACTGAAATTGTCTCTACCTGAACATTATAAAAGGAAAGAAAATAGATTACAGTCCAAGTATGCTTCCACAAATAGTTAAGATCCAAATGACAGAAAATATCATTAGCATGGTATTTTAGTGGTAGCATTTTGTTGGTGGTAGCATTTTGGAATAATTTCCCTTTTTGAGGGTTTTTTTTTTGGAGCTGGAGTTTCACTCGTCAGCCAGGCTGGAGTGTAATGGCATTGTTGGCTCACCGCAACCTACACCTCCCAGGTTCAAGAGATTCTCCTGCCTCAGCCCCCCAAGTAGCTGAGATTACAGACATGCGCCACCATGCTGGCTAATTTTGTATTTTTAGTAGGGAAATGGTTTCTCCATGTTGGTCTGGCTGGTCTCGAACTCCACCTCCCAAGTGCTGGGATTACAGGCATGAGCCACCACACCTAGCTATTTTTTTTTTTTTTTTTGAGATGGGAGTCTCGCTCTGTCACCAGACTAGAGTGCAGTTGTGTGATCTTGGCTCACTGCAACCTCCTCCACCCAGGTTCCAGCGATTCTCCTGCCTCAGTCTCAAGTAGCTGAGACTACAGGCACAGGCACGACGCCTAGCTAATTTTTTTGTATTTTTAGTAGAGACAGGGTTTCACCATGTTGGCCAGGATAGTCTTGATATCTTGACCTCGTGATCTGCTGGCTTCAGCCTCCCAAAGTGTTGGGATTACAGGCGTGAGCCACCAGCCAAGTTCTTTATTTCTCAATTTTTAATGTGCTTTTCCTGTAAGTTTAGTATATAAAGTATCTTTATATAATGACTCAATAAAATCCTGATTTGCAGTCTCTCCCCAACTTTCTTCAATCTAGAGTTAATAAAACTATTGCATAAAAACAAATATTACCTTAACTTTCACCAGCCTTTTCACAGTCTTAATCTTTGCCTCACAGAAGGCACCTCGGTACTTGGCACTGACATCAGTTCCCACTGTCAGGTAGGCAGGCTCATCCGCCGCCTGGTGAAAAGAACATAAACTGTGAATGTCATTACTATGTCTCCCTGCTCCAACCTCGAGTGTCATTAAAAGATTGTGTTTGAAGCATTAAGAATATTAAAATAACTTACTAGTATCACTGAAAATTTGAAAAATACCCTAAAGCAAACACTTGATCAGCAACTCTTTATTTTACATACTGATGTCCTTATGCGATAAAATGTTTTAAAGTTGTAATTCAAAATTATCGGTGACGAAATACAATGTTTTTCTCCAGATACAAAATTTTTAAAAAATTCTACTATTTATATAAGCAGAAAAATAAGAAATGGCAGGAAAATATTTCATATTACACATATCATAAAATTAAGTTATTCATTTATATCCTCCTGAAAATAAATTTTTTATTATAGAATTATTAAAAATTTTAATAAATAAAATTAAATTTCAAATTAAAATAAATATTGCTACTAAAACTAACACTAAAAATACATAATTGTTCATTGACATAGCTATGTAAAGATAACATCTTTTCATAAGGAGAGTATAATTTGGAAAATTCATTGGCTAAAAGCTGCATTTGAAAGGTTTTAAGTTTCAATTCAGCCAATGAATGCAGATATGAACCCATGGCTCAAGACTCGTAGACATACCTAGTTTACCCCACTAATCTTCTTGGTATAAATATATAAGCATTACTAATAAATATCTACGTTTAGCAAACGGACATGATCAGAATGATACATCGAAAGATGTGAGAAATTTCACTCTACCACTTATTTTAATCTTGATGGTAACAGGATGATTGTTATCTCAATCTGTCATTTTACCTTTTTTTTCTTCCCAGAAGTTAAAGTGTAACCATACAAGTTCAACTTAACATTGTTAAATGCAAAGGTAACAATGTATACTTTGGAGATACATTTTTAAGTAGAAAATGTTTTTATTTTTGTTTTCCAATAAGTTTTCCCAAGTAATATTAAAGAAAGTTAAATACATCATTTACTTCGAGAAAATAGAAAACCAGGAGAAAGTTTGGGAAAATGCTGTGTTTCAGAGCTTAATACACTGAAACAGTAAATAAGATAGGAACTAGGTACCTTTTAAAGTAAGTGCATTTACAAGAAATACAAATTGAATAGGAACGCTTTTGGCAAATAAAAATCTGACCTGAAACGTTCAATGGCCACAGCATTCAAGAATGTTATATGAGATCCTTTCCCTTTAACCATCCACATACTGTTATTTGCAGTCATTCTCAGTAGAATATATATCTTTTTAGGGTCAGAATATGTTTTAAAATATTTACTGTACAGATTTAACTAAAACTATAATATAGTTCAACTTCAAATATTTTATCCACATGAATTCACTAAACACACAGAAGAAATGATACCTTCATTACTTAATCCATGTATTCTTTCTCTTAGAAAATCACATTGGCACTGGGGAAGAAAAAAATTTTCAAAAAATCCCCCAAAGAACCAAAGCAGGACAAAAGCTTTACTTCTGCAAAGGTTGCTGCCAACACAGGAAGTGTTTAAAAATACTATCCTAATGGACAACAACTGAAAGGCTGCTACAGAGAGGGCCCAAACTCCGCATTTAGACACACAGATCATTTCTCACCCATTCAACACATCCTCCTTTGCCGAAACTGCTGCTCAGCAGGGACATCAATTTTGAGTAGCAAACAAATGACATTCCACGGCACTAGTCTCACAACTGGCAGTGTCCAGGGCACGAGGATAGGGGCAGCGTTGACTCCACTTACCTTCATTTTTGTTGGTGATCTGTGGGGTTCCAGCTCAGCGAGCTATCTTTGCAGTCGCTAGAACTACGGGGAGGGAGAAAGACCGGCACAGAATCAGTCAACTGCGGGGAGCGACCAAGGGAAAGAAAGTAAACAAACGCCAGCGGGCGGGGCAGAATTCTCACCGGTCAAGGGACAAGACCCCTCTCCAAGGGCGGACGCAGGATCTGAAGGGGCAGCTAGAACCCCAGCGCGCCAAAGGGCAGCTCGTTCCGCCCCGGAGCTCGCCAGCGGCCCACCGCGCCCCCGCCTCGATGGCCACTCGGACCCGGAATGCTCAACTCGGAGCCCCAGGACAGATAGCTCGGGAAAAGGGCAAGGCGCCGTTCGGGCTTCCCCAGGTCCCCCGCGGAGGCGACCGCCAAGCCTACGCTCCGCTGTCCCCCGGATACCCCGACTTCGGCCCGCGCCCCGCCTCCGCCGCTCGGCCCCCTTGGCCCGCCCCGGGCCCGCGGTGGCGGCAGCGGAGTGTCACGGCGCCATTGCTCTCGTTCCTTCGTTCTGCACCATGTCAGGAAGGAGAAGCGCTCCTTCACCCGAAGGGGCAGGGGCCGCGGCCTTCAGTCGGGAGCCTCCAGAGCCCCGGGAGAACTGCGCGGGGGAGGGGGCGGGGGCGGAGAGGAGGAGGAGGGGAGGTGGCCCGGACAGGGTGTGGGAGGGGAGGGGAACCGCACCGCAGCAGCCGCCGCCTCCTCCCCGCGCCCGCCTCAACTTTTTGTACAGCCCAGAGAGGTATCAGCCCCCAGCCCCTCGAGTCCTGCCACGGACTCCGCAGGGGTGGACGCACCGCAGAGTTGGGGGACGGCTCCTCCAAGCAGCCCGCTTCTACCGCGCGGAAGCAAACTTAGCGGCGCAGCCAGCCCCACAGCCATTTTCCCGGGAACCCGGGGAAGCGGACGAGGAGGCAGCTGCAGCGGCGGCGGCGGTTCCCACAGTTGCTGCCACTGCTCCACGGCTGGCCCCTTCCCTTGCGCTAGCCGCACCACTTGCCTAGCATCCCTCTCCCCACCTCCAAACCTTCCAACTGCACCGGGACCCTGGGCAGCAGCAGCAGCAGCTGCTACTGCCGCTAGGTCCATTCAGTATCCCCCGATTCCCCTCTCCCCACCTACCAACTGCGAGTGAAGTGCGCGCTGTCAGCTCCAGAGTCCTCCGTCCCTCTGACCTCCGTGGGCCCCCGTCCGGGCAGCACCACTCCCGGCTGCGGCGACAGTTCCTGCGCCCGGTTCCCCACTCGCCCCGATTTACTGCCACAATCCACCAAATAACAAGCTGTTGAGCCGACTCGCTTCTACACGAACTCCTATTGGCTGCTCATGACGCCGAAGAGCTTCGGATAGGCCCTCGCTACCTGCCGTCCCCATTGGATGTAGCTCTGAAACTTCATGGATTGGTGCGAAAAACAGCAGGTAGGACATCTTCCACTTATGATTGGTTTTTTCTGAAGACCAACGTTATTGGAGAGTTGGTTATTGAGTAAGCAAGTTCTGAGAATTGATTGGTAGACACGACTCCGGATGTGCTTGACTGTGCACTGATTGGTGAATTGTGGGGTCAGGAAGAGCAGTTCGGCACGAGGATTGGCGGCGGAGTGTCCCATGGAAACGGAACCCAGAATTGCAGCCAGGGGCTTGCACGGGGGCGGGGCAGTGTCTTTCCTATGCGCCTGCGCCAAACCAGCTTCCCGGCGCCATTTTGTCTCGGCAGCGGTGGCCGCAGCTCCATCGCATTTTAGTTTTCTGGCGAGAAGGAAACGGAGTTTTCATCTGGCAGATTCGTTTTTCTGCGGCAGCCATCCACCGTTCCCTCAAGGACAGCACCTAGTTTTGGACGGAGGAGCCGCAGAGCTGTCAAAAGGTCAGTTGGAGGCTGTGGTTGTCCGATTGACTTGGGGGGATGGCGCAGCTCTAGCGGCACCGGCACCGGAAGTAAGGGGGCCGCGGGCAGCCATGGTTTAAAATCAGTTCTTGGCGGCGGGGAGGGGAGAAGGGGTGGGATGAAAGGGGGCGAGGCTTCCTCTCCCGCCCAGAGAAAGAGAGAGAGGTAGAGGAGAGAGAAACCTCTTTCTTGGATGTGATCGTTTGGGCTCTAGAGAATGTGAGAGATTTTCTGGATTCTGTCACTCTCTGAGCAGTTCTTCCTGTCTTTGGAAATGCATTTCGGGGACTTGCCGTATTCTCCACCTGTTTAGCACCAGCTGTGGGAGCCTTTTAAGACAGGGAAGAAGTGGTTCTTAAAAACATCCTGCTTGGAGAGAGCTTTCCGCGTGCTTCTCGCGCGATAAAGCTGTGAGGAAACTGGAGAAAGCGCTGGCTTTCTGCATGCTGAGCAGTTTACTTGCCAGCGCAGACGCTGCTTCTCTGACCTTAGACAAGCGTGTGTGTCACTCTGCATGAGGCTTATGCTACTTTTTGAAAGGAAACAGTGATTTTGCAGGACTGAAAACATCTTAAACACAAGAACCTCCCAGATAAGATAGACGTTGATCTCGTTTTGTTAACATCTTGTGCTTTGTTCGGTGAAAGACACATATTTTTAAATAGTGAAATTGGAATATAAATTGTCTAGTTTTATAGAATGGAATGGTTTTTTAAATGTGACATATCGTCAGTTTTCCACGTGGACTAAATTTTCTCAGTAAGAAAACGTCTTAGCAGAATCAGTTTTTTATTTATAACAGGGATTTTGCTCAAAAGTATTCATTAAGAAAGTGAAATGTATGTTGGTATTTCTAGTGAGTGACCTAGTCACACTGGATAGATGCTAATAATTACCCTGAATATCTGTTTTAAACCGTACTGCTATATTGGTGGAGCTCAAGACTAGAAAATGGTTGCGTGACTTAACAATTACTGGGTTTTTGGCAGTTGTGCTGAAGAAAACAACATCTCAGTGGCAGATATCTCAAAGCATTACTGAGGTGAGTCATAATGTCTCTAAAAATCCTTAGAATTACGGGGGACCATAGAAAAACTTTCTATGGATTAGTAGAGGAATACTAGAATGGACGAAAAGTAGTTGAAAGATGTTTTGTTTATTCAGATTTACATGAGTCTATATAATTAGCTTCCTGATGTAATATTTTAGAGTGAAATCCCAAAATTAGGACATCCTTACGGATTCCTTTACCCATTTATGTGGTTCTCATTTCTGGATTTCGAAGTACCTAATGTTTTTATCATAAAACATGCTTATTTCAGTGGCTCACACCTGTAATACCAGCACTTTGGGAGGCCGAGGCTGGTGTATCACCTGAGATCAGGAGTCCGACACTAGCCTGACCAACATACTGAAACCTCGTCTCTACTAAAAATACAAAAAATTAGCTGGGTGTGGTGGTGGGCACTTGTAATCTCAGCTACTCGGGAGGCTGAGGCAGGAGAATGGCCTGAACCCAGGAGGCAGAGGTTGTGGTGAGCCGAGATCGCACCATTGCACTCCAGCCTGGGTAATAGCGAAACTCCGTCTCAAAAAAAAAAAAAAAAATGCATATTTTTGTGGTACTCACCCCGCCTATTTAAAAATTTCTCATGTAGAAAATATTTTGTAAATAGGAATGTTGAGGGGTGAAGCAGTTTTTTAGAAGACCTTCTAAAACAAACAGTATATTACTGAACTTTCCAGGGAGTAAGCATCCGTAATTCCACTATCAAAGTTTAAACTGTTATTATCTAATCCAAATAATCCATGGACATTTGGATATTACTAAAAAGCCCAAAGAAGAATACAAAAATTTCTTCCCTCCACCAAAAGATAGTTACAGTTTAAACTGTAGTTATATATTACACAAAAGGCTTTGTCTTTCTTGGTTTTGTTTTAGAAAATATTCTAGTTTTGCTCATTTTCTTACCATCTATTTTTGTTTGTAGACATTGGGAACATTGAAAATATTTTGTCTTAAAGCATCTTTTATGTCTTCATAGTGTTTTGTGGGATAAATACACCGTAACTTATGTAACCTGCTTATTTTTATATAACAGCAGTATTAGGTCAGTGAATATCCTTGTACGTGTTTTGCAAAATACTGTGTCTAAGAAGGTTGTTGCAGAAATAACTGTGGTTTTTGCATTATTGGCATTTGCCATTTGATTTTGGATTACATTGTTAAATATGGATATGTTATACATCATATTATTGGGCATTTCTTTGTTGTTGTTTTTTTTTTTTTTTGGCCAATGACTTACTACTTTTTATTTCATGTTTATTTTATTTATTTATATATTTATTTTGAGGTGCAGTCTTGCTCTGTCACCCAGGCTGGAGTGCAATGGCACGATCTTGGCTCACTGCAATCTCTGCCTCCCGGTTCAAGTGATTCTCCTTGCCTCCTCTCTACAAACAATGCAAGAATCAGCCAGAGTGGTGGCGTGCACCTGTGGTTGCCAGCTAATTCAAGGGCTGAGGTTGGGGAATTACTGGAGACCGGGGAGGTCAAGGCTGCAGTGTGCTGTGGTCTTGCTACTAAACTCCAGCCTGGGCAACAGTTGAGACATTGTCTCGTGTGTGTGTGTGTGTGTGTGTGTGTGTGTGTGTATTATATATTTAAGCTAGGGATGCTTATACAGTAGTGTATCAAAAAGCTTTTCTTACTACATTTAACATTGATTGTCCTTTTCATTACTGTCCCCCCACCCTATTTTCTGGTTTTTCTTTAGCTTTATTTTTGAACATTCTCTCTTGGACCTCTGTTTCTTCAAGTAGAAATATCACAGTCTTTAAGTTACACATACCATAAAATATATGAGAATTTTTCTTGGACCCTAGAATTTTTTTTTAACTTTATATGTTTTTTTCACTTTAGGTGAGCATTTGTACAGTGAAACATTTTGCTACACAGAAGTGATGTTTAGGAATACTAACAACAAATTATTTTTATGGTCTAGTTAGTTGAATTTAACTGCTTCATTTTTCCTTGTAGCCTTCTCTGAAGTTTCCCATTCTTGTGTGCATTCATTCCTCAGTGCTTTGGTAGCGTGATAATAAAGACATGTGTCTAGCCACACTTTCTTTGCATTTGTTTGACTCTTCCCAAATTTGAAACTTTGTTCCCAGAAAGCAGCAACTGTTTTATTTAATCACTGTTCCCTTCCCTCACCTCTGTAGATGCTGCTTCTGAATCTGTATGCATATTTGTATATAAAATGTGAAATAAGCCAACTTACATGTTTTGGTTTCTTGGGGTTTTTTTTCCTTTTTTCTTTTTTTTCCCCCCTTTTTTATTGTGTTGTTTTGTTTTGTTTTTGAGACAGGATCTCTGTCACCCAGGCTGGAATGCTAGCTCATTGTAGCCTCATACTCATGGGCTCAAGGGATCCTCCTACTTTGGCCTCACAAGTAGCTGGGACTACAGGTGTGCACCATCAGGCCCAGCTAATTTTTTTTTTTAGTTGACCAGGCTTGTTTTTCAATGTAATGTCTTTTAATAGTAATTCTTTCCTGAAAATTAATGTTTCACAGATGCTGCTTTAACCTTAAATTTTTTAAATATTCCAAATACTTAGTTTAATACTGAATTGATTTATAATTGATAATGAAATGTAGATTTAGATGACCAAGAAGAATGTGTCATGTTCGCTTTGGCAGCTCACCTACTAAAATTGGAACAATACAGAGATTAGCATGGCCTCTGTGCAAGGATGACATAGGAAGCATTTCATTTAAAAATAAAAAATTAAAGCTCACTCCTGTAATCCCAGTACTTTGAGAGGCTCAGGCAGGCATTCGAGACCAGCCTGACCAACATGTAGAAACCCTGTCTCTACTAAAAAATATAAAATTAGCCGGGCATGGTGACACATGCCTGTAATCCCAGCTACTCGGTAGTCTGAGGGAGGAGAATAACTTGAATCCAGGAAGTGGAGGTTGTAGTCAGCCAAGATTGCACCATTGCACTCCAGATTGGGGAACAAGAGCAAAACGTTGTCTCTAAATAAACAAATAAAATTAAAAGCAAAGAATATATCAAGAGTATTAGTTTTTTCAGGCTTCTTTTTATTCCCCAATCCTTTTTTAAGTATTTTATAATGTCTCGATGGTAACTATAGATAAATATTGGTAGTTACCAGACAGTGTCTTGGGTATAAAACAATAAAATTATGATATAATTGTATTTTTGTAACCTATTAGTTCAGTGAGCCCAAACTAATAGGAGTCATAATTACCAACTTTTTAATGTTTCTGTGATATAAAGCTATATTGAAGAATTTTTTTTTTTTTTGATCAAGAGTTTGAGAATACGTAATTGGCTTCCCAATGTGGTATTTTAGACTGAAATCTAAAAATTAGCACATCCTTATGGATTTGTCTGCCCATTCATGTGGTTCCCAGTTTTAAGTACTTGATATTTTTATCCCAGAACACCATTAACATGTTTGTGACTTTTTTTAATCATTCTTATCAACGAGAGTGTTTAGGAGGGAAGTAATTTGTGTGTGTGTGTGTGTGTGTGTGTTTAAATATACAGTCTGTATTCTGAATAAGCTATAACAAACTCAGATTTTTTAAAAAGTCTTTTGTCTTTTAGAGTAAGACTGATTTTGTGGGAAAATTAAGCAAGGTGTTCCAGTTTTAAAAATCCTAGATCTGCAATCTGTTTGTGGTAAGTAATTTTACTTAGCTACTCTTAGGTAATCAAGACTGGTAATGTTGCTCGTGTGTGTGTGTGTGTGTGTGTGTGTGTGTGTGTGTGTGTTTGTGTATATCTTTTGAAAAATGATGGAATTTGTTCAACTATACAGTTATTTCTGTACACATAAGTATATATTGAGAAGTGGAAATGCTTGCTACTGAATGTTGCAGCTTTCCTAAAGATGTAATTTATGGAAAGTTACATAATTTACTTACTTGTAACCAAAGCAGACTTTGTAATTTCTATGTTGTCTTTTGCCCTGTTAGATTTTTTTTTTTTTTCTTGAGACAGAGTCTCGCTCCCTTACCCAGGCTGCAGTACAGTGGTGCAGTCTCGGCTCACTGCAACCTCCACCTCCTGAGTTCAAGCAATTCTCCTGTCTAAGCCTCCCAAGTAGCTGGGAATACAGGTATATGCCACCACACCCAGTAATTTTTGCATTTTTAATAGAGACGGGGGTTTCACCATATTGGCCAGGCTGGTCTCGAACTCCTGTGACCTCGTGATCTGCCCACCCCGGCCTCTCAAAAGTGCTGGGGCTACAGGCGTGAGCCACTGCACCCAGCGATGTGTTAGATTTAACTGCTGATTTTATGGCCACGTGGAGTCATAGATAATGGTTTTGTTTCACCAATAATTCAAACTAGAATGACAGCTTACTTTGGGATTCAGATTCAAGCAGATGTGAGTTGCCTAATGGCTTTCCTACAAGGATCTATGCTCCAGGAGTTTATGGTCAATAAAAAAGACAATGTAATTACACATGTGGAAAGTTAAGTAGTTATTTCAAAAGATTTAAGCAATTTATGTAACCTTACAGATTTAAATGGAACCTGATAATAGATTTATCAAAGTTCTGTATACAGTCACATCTAGTGCTTCTTTTAAAGGACAAATTGCTTTAGAAAGCAGAGCAGAAAGAAATGTATAATGGTTGTTAAAGGCTTTTCACAGATAGTGAGATAATGTGTAAAATTAGAAGGAGAGAAGGCATTCTAATTAGATGAAAGGTCGTGAGCAAGAATATAAGAAAATCTGTATTTGGGACGAAGGGTAAACTAGCTCAGAAAGGATTGGCTGAAGATTATGTAGGGAAAATTGCATGTGGCCAGCCTACTAATGTTTCAGCTGCATGTCCGAATCCAGTGGAGTATTACAGGGTTCTAGAGGGTCTTAGAAGATTGGGTGTAAACAGAAATTGACCATTATTTTTGTCTTATTTCCAATTTTACAAATTCTAATGGAACTCAAAAATAAAATCAGCCAGGCTTGGTGGTCACACCTGTAGTCCCAGCAGTTTGGGAGGCCAAGGTGGGCAGATCCCTTGAGGCCAGGAGTTGGAGACCAGCCTGGCCAACATGGTGAAACCCCATCTCTGCTAAAACCACAAAATTTAGCTGGGCATGGTGGCATGTGACTGCAATCCTAGCTACCCTGGAGGCTGAGGCAGTAGAACCTGGGAGGAAGAGTTGCAGTGAGCCGAGATCACACCACTGCACTCCAGCCTGGGCAACAGAACAAAACTTGTCTCAAAAGAAAAAAAAAATCACTTTTAATGCCACTCGAAGTGATTTTTAAAATTGCCTTCTTCCTTGTCTTTGTGTATTTTCTTTCGTCTTAGAGAAGTTTTTGATTTTCTGTGTTCCTTTAACATTATAACAAGCATTCAGTGTAACTGCGTGGACAGTCTCCATAATGATTTTAATGCCTGAAAATATTCCATCAAGCTTCTTAATCTTTTTCATTTTTCTATTGCGTTATTATGTAGGTTTCATGGTCCTTCAATTATCTTGTGTGCATACACAGTATTTTCTATCTTTTGGACTGCTCTTTTAGGGGTAAATTTAAAGAGTCATTGTATGAAGGTTTTTATGACTCTTGAAACATTGCTGTGTTGTTTTTCAAGCAGGTTATAATAATTTACACTATCACCCTCCCTGTGAGTTTAGCTAGTGGCATTGAGTGGTCTATAATTATCATTTTTGCTAATTTAATAGGTGCAAAATATATTGAGCTCTTTTTTTCTTTGTAAGGTTTTTATTGTGAATTAGTAAAATGGGACCTTGTTCTGTGATTTCACTTACTGATTCTTTTACAGGTTGTCTATTAAGATTTCTAATTATGTATTAGTCTTGATATTTTATCTAATTGGTTGAGTTTATTATATAATAGTAGTAACTTCCTGTACATATTTTTCCAAACAGATTTCCCTTTTAATTTTAGTTAGTTTTGCTGAAGGTTTTTGAACAGATAAAGAAAGGCATGGCATAAATAAAATACAGTGTTGGAAAATTATTTAGAAACAACACCCAATATAACTGAAGAAACGACACAGGAGTTGGAGGTAGGGAGACAAGATACTGTGAAAGTGGTTTCAGCATGAGATGAAACTAGAGTAGGATCTGGAGAGAGAAAGGAATAGGTGAGCAAGAAGTTGTTTTGGGGGAGGAAAACTTGATAGTGTTTGATCTCTGATTATAGAGGTAGAGAAGAAAGAAAAA